TGTACTAGCGGTATGAGACTAAACTTTAGAACCACCTCTTGCCATTTATTCACGGGCCTTTAAGATTTTCTTTAGGAAGTTCAGAAACATACATGGGCCAAGCCTATTATTCTAGAAACCCTCCACCAGATTTCAAGTGTCCATGTAGTGGTTTGCCTTTGTCTCAAAAAAGAATGTAGAGGCTTGCCTGATTTCGCTACTTATTTAATATACTAGTAGTAGTATTTCAGCAAAGACTGTTAAGTTAAACTTATGTCTAGAGTTTTAAGTTGTATCCATTTAGAACTTAACAATGGACTATGTCTTGAATTACATGTTTTGTCCCACTCGCATGTATGTAGGTGGGAGTTAATTGCAAAAAATCATCACATTTGGGGCATCGATTGCACAAAACCAGCTCGTCTCTAATGTTGTGCAAAAATCACTATGTTTTCAGTAATCTCTTTGCAGAAAGCACCGATCGAAGGATTTAGGCCATTTAATCATTTTCTGACAAGTGGAGCCGGACTGTAAGGAGCTGACTTGGAAAAACATTGACATACACCCCCCTGGTTCAAAAATAAAAACGCAATCCAATCCAGCGGGTGGCGTCCCTCCTCCCTTCGATCCTGCAAGCTGCCGCCGCCTAGAGGCCTCCTCTGCCCGGCGCCATGGATGGATGGAGCTCCACCGCGCCACCGAGCTTGCCTACGCCCCCACCTCCGGCCACCTTTGCTCTCCGCCGTCCCATTCCCTTCCAAATTCGGTTAGTGGGCTGGACAGCTGGTCGTGATGATTCGGACGCCGCTGGTGGATGCGGTTAGTGGTGGCCCTGCTGTGCGCCGCCAATCCGCGCGCGCGGCGAGCTCCCGTGGCTGGTGACCCTGCTGCACGTCACGCTCGACGGGGAGCTGGATGGTGGCAGCCGTTGGCCTCTCAAGCACGCATAGGAGGGATCCTCTCCCCACGCGTCGCAACTCGGCCCTAGCAGGACGACGTAGGAGAGAGAGGCGGGGCGAGGAGATCACGACGGCGCCTCCCCTCGCCATGGGCGCCCACAACAGTTGTGTACGGGATTCCTCTTCCTGGAAGAAGACGACGAGCGAGGCGCCCTCCCTCTTCCCGGCGGATCCACGGCGAGGCGGACGCGCACAGGTACTGGCCTCATCTTGAGGCTGCACGGAGCATGTCGCGGTGGTCGGCGGCGTGCTTGTCGGCGGCGGCGACATCGCCGGGGTGGCGCCGGGGGTCGGCCAGCTCGGGTTCTCTCGATCCGATGGGATCGAGGCAGCGGACTCTGCCGGGCATGGTCAAGGGGGCTGACTGCTTTTTTTCAAATCTACTAGGGGTCTGTGTGTGATTATTTTGCCAAGTCAGCTCCTTACAGTCTGGTCCCATGTGTCAAAAAGTGATTAAGTGGGCTAAATCACCTGATCAGTGCATTTTGCAAAAAGATTACTGAAAACACGGTGATTTTTGCACAAAATTAGGGACTAAGTGGTTTTCTGCAATCGATGCCCCAAATGTGGTGGTTTTTTTGCAATTAACTCATGTAGGTGGGCTGCAACTACAATCCGGACGAACTAATGCAGGTTTCAGTTCGCGCGTGATCTTGCCACTTGGATTGAAATGCAGGGTTCAGTTCTGTCTAGGCAAGCACATTTCTTTGCAAGGAAAAGCAAGCACGGGTTAGTTGGAACATAAAGCATGGTGCAGTTGTAATTAAGCTAGTACGCGCACAAGCAGATGAGGTCGAGGTGGTACATCGTTCAAGATAGTCGGCAGCAGCGACGGCGCACAAGAACTGGTGTCTGGACCCAGCTTAACTTCGGCCGGTTGGTGTCTCGTGACATGATCCGGTCTGCAGGCATGTGTGCTCTCCCATTCGGATTCCAGTATCGACGGCATCTGCGACTTTACCATAATCAAGCATCCTGAGAGCAGCCCTTCATTTCTGTGTATAGGAGAGACAGAAAATTTCTGGCAACAATCCTTTCTCAGCTTGAGCTAGTCATTGGCCTCCTCCATGCCATTTACTATGCACAAGAACAAATCTCTGCTCATCCGAAAGTGACATTAAAAAAATTCTTCATAGTATTTAGGGTTCAGAGTGAAGTAGTCGGGCATAGAGAAGCCTTGCGCTAACAATCCCATCCTGGAGAACAACCCTCATGTCCTTTATTGAACCCTTGAACTTCAGTACATGTTCCTCTTCCTTCTCCAATTCTTCATGGATGCTCATCATCGTCATTTCGGCATCTTCATCATTCGAATCCTACAGATAGATGAAGTCTTTGTATATGAATTCGTCAAGTTTTGTGTTTCCATATGCATCATTCAGTGACTAATTCAACGGTGGCCTACAAAAGACCAAAAGAATAAAGAAACAACTAGAACATTTCATCAGACACGTAGAGCATGAGGTGTATGTTGAGACAAGTTGCGCGTACCGGGGTGGTGTCCAGTGGCAGCACAAATGGTGGCGTTGTTTGTTGGGCCCTCCGATGGCAGCGCTGTGGGTTGGGGAGGACGATGGATCAATGATGTCAACAGAGCTATGGTGACGATAGTGCGGACGAGGCAGAAAAGCGAAGAGAAAGAGGGTAGGTTGGGCAAAGACAGAGATATCTTCATGAGATTTTGTGGGTCTTGACTGTCGGTTCGATGTGACAGACACGTCCAGGCATGGCCGAGTGTCCTCATATCCACCTCAGATATGGGATGGGTATAGGAGTGCCGGTCAATCAGGACATTTAGGCCGAGTTTGCCTGATCTGGTTGGGTGGAAATGTACTGTCTGGGCAAAGGGCGCTCAAACGTTTGAGACGGATATGAGGGCTCCGGTTGTAGATGCACTTAGGATTCCACAACCTCTCATATACAAAGCAAAATTAATTTGTAGTCTTCTCTTACTTGGGACATTCATGTATGGATGCAGTAAGAGCATCTTCAGCAAACCTTCCAAAATCTTTCTCAAATGTCTGCGGATGCGTTCGGTCAGGAACTGAGCAAGAGACGAAATAGTGATCCAACCGGATCCCTAATATCACCTCTATACATCTGGGCTATCTGCGAACCATCATATTGAAACCAAATATTAGGAGGATATGAAGGCTCGCGGGCGCGCCCAGTCTAGCCGCCACATAAGACATGGCCCACCAGGACCACTTTTTCTCTCTCTTTGTTCTTTCTTTTATTTTTCTCTCTTCGTCTTCACAAATTACATGCAAGTGAACAAACATATAAAGTAAAAATGAGGTGTATGGTTATATTGGTAAAAATGAGGCGTATGGCTATATGGACAGACAAATCGGGGTTGAAAATGAACATGCCTGGGCACATCCGTTGACGTTTAACAGGCCGATTTTGCAAAGTCTGGTTGTAGATACTCTAATGTAATATTCCCAAAAAGAGACATTATTAGGATTCCGCAATCTCTTCTATGCAGAGCTATACACTCTTTTTTAGTGGTAGACAACAATATTCTCTATCGGTCTCTTGTCTTTATTCTTTATAGAAGAGGTTGTGCATACTATACACTAACCCGTATTTCTTGGACACAACTTTATGCACCGTTGTCATGTGAGCCGTACGTGTCTACCCGTACCCAGATGGTCCGGTCAGAGATGCTTTACCAAGAGAGAAACGGCAGTTTCTTGTAGGTACGGGGAGTAGAGCGTGACATACAAGAGCCCGACGGCGGCAATGGCCATGAGCAGCAGGACGAATAGGATGACGGGTGTCTTCCCCCGTTGCCCCATGATGCCGAGTGCAAACGGGTAGAGGAGCACGAGGGTCCCCACGTTGAACACCATCCCGAGCAGCACGTGCCGCGCCTGGTCCGTAGAAAAACCCCATGTCGCCGCCTTGCCGATCGCCGCCCCGACGGCCGCGACGTTCACGACGAGCACTGCGGCGGTCGGGATAAGCAGCGGCACCCATCGCACGGTGTACAGGTCGGCGAACTTGTCACGGGAGCAGGCCTCCGTCTGCTTGGATGTGAGCCTGAAGTGCATCCCCTTACCCGTGACAAGCTTCAACGCCATGTACAGCACGGCTGTCGGGTAGACGCCGGTCGCCGCGATCAAGTAGAACTGCTCGTTGCGGCACCAGTCCAGCAGGGTGATCCCCGCCCATTTAACCTCGAACATGCCAATCACATGCATCATCGCTATGACGGCGATGAGGTACGCGATGTACGTGCCAAACGGCCTCTTGATGTACAACTGCTCGGAGAAGAGCCACATGACCGGGAAGAAGTTGTAGGCCAGGATGAACAGCGTGACGATCGGGTACGTCGACATGTTGAAGTACGCGATGCGTTGCAGAGGGTGGAGCCGGCGGCCAGCCATGAGGGCATTGTTGTGGGAGAAGAACACCTCGAGGGAGCTGCCGGACCACCGGAGCACCTGGTAGAGGCGCTCGGTGAGGTTGATTGGAGCCGTCCCACGGAACGCGGCCGGCTCCATGGAGCAATACACGGAACGCCACCTTTGACGGTGAATGCGGAATCCAGTCACCACGTCCTCCGTCGCAATGTTGTACACCCATCCAATGTCTCTCCCCCATGAACTCCCGTCCTCGTAAGAGCACGTAATCAGGGCGGCCAGGTCATTGCTCAGCCCCTCATCGACCAACACCGGGGTGATAGATCGCTCTTGGATCGCGCCATCCGGCATTGAGTTCGTGAACGACGCTGACTTACCGAACTCATCTGCATTACCTACAAGCTTAATGTTCTCCGCCCGATAACGTTGCGGCTCTATGCCGTAGAGTGCGACACGACGGAACATCGTGCCATTGCCAAGGTAGGAAGGCCCTTGGAGACCGTTGAGCGCGAGCATGGTGCCGTTGAAGAAGACACGGTTGTGGTTGGCGTAGCGATCTGTCGGGTCAACGTCGTCTAAGCGTTGCGGGAATTATTGGACGAAGGCCGTGTTCTGACCGTCACGAGGGTCGAGCATGAAGCACATAGGGGCACGGAGAGCTTGCGAGTTGTTGATGTAATGATCACAGTCAAAATTAATAATGAAGGGCGCGTTGGAGAGCAATGCCGAGACACGGAGCAGCGTTCATGGCGCCTGCCTTCTTTTGGTTGTCATAACCAGGCCGCTTCTCCCGGGATATGTAGACAAGCATCGGGAGTCTCATATCAACGTTGCTGAAGTCAAAGGGATTGTCGGTGCTCGCCGATGATCCAAACTGCGGTTTACAACCTGGATGGTCCAATATGACCTGTCAAAACAGCATAGTAGTTCCAAAAACTTTGTTAATCAAATAAATTAGAGCAAATTGAACTCACAGTCAACTGAATATCTATATTTTATATGCTAAAGACACAGTACGACCACAAATAAAGAGACGTGCTAATACAGACGAGGTGATTCGGTGCCTAGGCTCAGTTGCACCCGTGATGAACAGAAAATTCAGAAACAATAATAAAAAAATTCAAAAAATCTATTTTTTGCATTAAAGATAATTTGATGCATGAGGTGCACTCCAAATTTCATGTATTGTTCTGACCCAATTTGTCTTTGCTAAGAGCTATTTATATGTCTAAATAATCTGAAATTTGAAGCGCACCTCACGCACCAAATTACATTCCATGCAAAAAACAGTCAGAATTATTTGAATTTTTTAACTAGTGCAGGTGAGCCTGGGCTCAGAAATGGTTATTCATAACTATACCTATAATACACAAGAGGCAAAATACATATTAAAGAAAATTGAGAGAGATATGTTAGAAATTCTCATAAAAATGCAAAATATCCGGTTGCCAATTTGGTGGATTATCTCTTTATTAACTAGATGGTGCCTCGCGTTGCGGCGGGGACCTTGTTACAATAATGTATAGGTAAGTGGTAGAAGACTAAAATTGATGCAAAAACAAAACAAATGAATGTGTTGCATGGCTTAATTACCTAAATAAAATAGAGTATAGGTCACAACCATTATATCTACGGTGCCGCTAAATCTCAGTCGACAGAGACTTCGCGAAGTCTCAGTCGACGCTTTAGCCCTTAGATCTTTTGTTGCTTGAAGATTCGTGCTAGTGACTGTTTTGCCTAGTTTCGGCCTGGTTAGGGACGCATCCGGCCCAGTTATGTTTTTTCTATGTTTCTGCTTTTGTTTGGGCTTTTTTTGTTTGTGGGCCAGGTGGTTTGCATGTGGGATGGGCAAGTGAGGCGTCCTTTCTTGTTGTTTTTTTCTCCTGGGTTAATCGCACTGGTACAGCAAGTATCCCCTTTTGTGTCCATTTTCTTGTTCTTTTTATTTATCCATTTTTGTTGGTTAGATCTAAGAGTACTTGGTCTTCCATCAGTACAGATTACTTAAGTGGGGTTCAAATAGGTGGGATTTTTGTGTGTATCCATTTTTGTACTAGGTTGTTTCTTGGACAGGCTAGTAGATTTGTTTATCAGTCAGTGTGTATACTTTTTTGTCTTACATTCAATCAAATCAGCGGGCAGGTCTTTAACCGTTGATTAGTAGAATATAGATTATCACAATTTGTATGTTTTTTTTCACTTAGATTCTACCAGTAGCTGTTTTTGGGTCACCCTTTTCCCTCTGTTTTTGTCCAGTCAATCAACCAAGGTTCAGATAGCTCACTAAAAATGGACAGGCTAGAGAAAGATATTTTATCAGTGTTTCTTGTAGTGTTATTTAATTTATTTTTATATCAGCTAGATATATCATCAGAGGCATCTATGTCGACCAACTTTTTTTTACTTTGAATACTCAAATGGGGAGGGTTGCTAACTTTTGTTTGCATAATTTTCAAAAATGAGAATATCATTTAGTTACTTTGAATGAGAATATCAACTATCATTTTTTTGTTTTGTAAATTTTGCCGCCAAGGCGTGAGCATTGACTAACTAGTTTTTCCTTTTTAGTTAGAATTTTTGTTGTTGTTTGTCTCTTTTTTTATGTAATCGTTAATAAATAATGCACAAGGGTTTTTGACAAAATAAATTGTAATACTCATCCGCCCCAACTCACAAATAGAATTTCTTCCTTTTTCTTCATTCTTTGCATGTATTCAACCATGAATACAATTGAACTTTTGTTTTCTCGGGGAAGGGGGAGGGGGACTTTTCACGTTTGCCCCCAACTTGCAATGAACTTTTTGTTTTTTTCAAGGGTCAGGGAGTGGGGGAGGGCAATTGCACATGTACACTACGCATGGAACTGCAAGCGTCACCCCGGACTGCAATTGCATATATTCCACACAGAAGCAATAGGACTTTGTTTTATCAGAGAGGCGATAATAGAGGGGGGCAGTTGCACGTGTACACTAGGGCTTGCAACTGCAAGTGTCGCCTCCGACGGCAACTGCATGTCCCCCAACAGGATGCAACCAGACTTTGTTCTGTCGGAGAGGGCGGCTGGAGAGGCGGGGCAGATGCATGTATAACTCTTGGTATGCAACTGCATGTCTTCCAACACGGTTGCAATTGGACTTTTTATTGCTGGAGGGAGCGGTGGGGAGAGGCGTGGAACTACAAGCATCTATCATGAGTACATATGCATGTCTTCCAATAAGTTCGCAATTGGACTTTTTTGTCAGAGGGCGGCGGGGGCAGGGGCAATGCAGTTGCATTTGTACACTAGGCATGCAACTGCAGGTGTCGCCCCCGACTGCAACTACAAGTGTCATCCTCATTTGCAATGGCATGTCTACACACCCGACTATCGATGGGCGGCGAGAGAGAGGGGGGGCAATTGCATGTCTGACACTAGGCATGCAATTGCAAGTGTCGCTCGCGACTGCAATTGCATGTGTCGCCCGCGACTGCAATTGCATGTCTACACATTCGAGTGCAAATCACCTTTGTTTTGTTGGAGGGTGGTGGAAGAGTGGGTTGTTGCATGTGTGAGACTAGGCATGCAACTGCAAGTGTCACCCTGAACTGCAACTACATGTGTCACCCTCATTTGCAATTGCATGTCTACACACCGACTGCAACTTGGCTTTGTTTTA